AGTGACACGGCGGGGTGCCTGCACCGCTGGTGGGGCTGGCCCTGGCTCCAGCTTGGTGCTTGGCAGCAGCCTGCTCCCTGCTGCATGAGCCGCCGTCCCTGTGCTCGGGGAGCAAGGTCTGGGCCTCCCCCTGCCTGTCACCCCTCTCAGCCAGCTGCAGGCCCAGGAGGGCCCAGAGTGGGTGTCCTTTTTCGTATCTCCTTTGCAATAAAAGACCTGAGCCCTGCAGCCTCATCATGTTTGCGTCCCTGCTGGCAGGCAGGTCCCCCCAGCTCCTGTGGGTGCCTGTCCCTCACGTGCCTGGATGTCCAGCTGCAGAGCACATCTGGGGTGGGGGGCTCACTCAGTGACTGCCCAGGCCCGGGGACAATGTCACAGGCACGTGGGTCTGACGCCATTCCTCCTGGCTCACAGCTGGGAGAGGAGAGGCAGGTCCTTGTCGAGAGTCTGGCGAGCACTGAGGGTGTCACTGGGGGACTGTGCGCGACAGCTTTGTCAGGCACCACTGCCTGTGCAAACAGCTGCAGTCACATCAACTGGTGACAGCCGTGCCCAATGGCTGCCCTCCCTGGAGACACCCATAGCAACTCACCACACCCCACCTGGAGGGACACCAGAGCAGGTCTGCTGGAATAGCATTAGAAACAGAAGGAAAATAACCCAACTGACTCCTCGAGGCTGGGAAGCCACGGGTAAGAGCAGCTTCCCTGGCAGTAGAAAGCTCTCTGGAGAAGTTGCAAGCACCTCCCCCTGTTGGAGCTGGTGTTGCCACGTTGTCACTTGCCCCAATGACCAGTGCTACCACAACACTGGCTGAGCTGGGCAATGCCCCAGGGCTTCCACTGCTGCGGGGTACTGGGCCCAGGAGCTGTCAGGAAGAGACAGGCCCATAGACCTGCTCCTCACACCTAATGTGCTGAACAGAAGCAGGTGACATCCCAGTGAGGCTGTCCTCCTTGCAGACAGGCAAGGAGCCATGTGGCTCCAGAGGAGCAGGAGGGGAAAGCGTGACCACTTTGGGGGTGCACTGGGCTTGCTCCCGGCTGGGCAGGGCCCACCAGCAGCTGGGGCTCAGGAATGCTGCTCCCCCATGGCCCCTCAGCAAGGCCCAGGCAGCAGTGACAACAAGGGTGAGCCGCCTCCAGCCTGCCCAGGCCCCAGTCTTCTTCCCTTCTTGCATTAAAGTACAGATGGAGGTTTGTTCAGTTTGGGATTAAAAATTGAGAGCATCAAACAGCAGACCAATGCCACAAAGGGCTCGGGATAACCTCGGGCTTTGGTGCTGCCACGCTGCTCCCAAAGTAACTCTCCTCTGAAGGCAGAAAGATGCAGGAGGCTCTGCATCCCACATCACGAGGCAAGAGGAGGAAGCAGCAGCCAGGCACAGTGCAAAGCAGTAAGACACATGCAGGTTAAAGGCAGCCGAGGATTTCCATGTGGCCTCTAGCCAAGCTGGCACATCCTGTTTCTACTGCCTTCCCCCAGTTACCCTGAAACCTGTCACCAGAGCAGAACTCCTGTCACCCACAGGAACTGCAGGGCAGGCAGATGCTTCAGCAACACCCTCAGGTGGGCGTGATGGAGTTGCTCATCATTCCATTTCTTGCTCCTTGCGAGGCCTTTCCCCAGGCCCCACACACCAGCTGCCCACCTGCACACAAGCACAGCTCTGCCCAGGAAGCACGCCCCTGGCACATGCTCTGACCTGTCAGCCAGAGATCATCTGGGTGACATCCACATCACCTCCTTGTCAGAACAGCCACAGGAGATGCGGAATCAGGAGTGAGGAGAAACAAGACAGCTGGTGGTCAAACAATGTTGGAGAGAGGCATGAAATCCCCTAAGTTCAGACTTGTTTTGACTGGAACAGCACTGACACTGGGAATAAAGGAAAACCGAGGTATTTTATTTCATACAGAATCAGTTTCCTAGAAGCACTAACAGCCTTGTAGAGACCACCTTGAGAAGCCAAGAAGAGAGGCAGCCCTGCTGGAGAGATCCCGGGCAGCAGTGCCTGAGCAGAGCCAGCACAATCAGCAGCGTGCCCTGGCTGCAAGGATGGCTGGCCACATCAGGGGCTGCATCACCAGGGTGCAGGCCACGCAGAGGGGTGTGATCCTCCCTCCTTTACTCAGCACTTGTGAGACTGGATCCAGATACTAAATCCTGGGCCACCAGAAGATAGCTGTTGGTGCTCTGGGCTGACTCCAGTTGAGAAAGTGAAAGTGGTCAGAGGCTGGAGCACTGCAAGGGAAAGCTGAAGGAACAGGGTTTATTCACCCTCAGGAAAAGGCAGCTTTGGGGAGACCTACCAGCAAGCCTTTCCCACCCCCACCCCAGACCTATGACAAGGCTACTGAGATGAAGCCAGGCACTTCACTGAGAACAAGACAACGATTATGGACTAAAGCCAGGCAGGTTTCCTGAAAAGAGGGGAAAAAAAGTTTCATCTTGAGAACCTGAAGCAGTAGAGCAGAGGCCAAGAGAGGTGGTGGCATCTGTCCTTGGATACTCCCAGACCCAACTGAGGAAGCCCTGGACAACCTGGTCTGAAGTCAGTGCTAGCCCTGCTCTGAGCAGGTGTTGTACCACAGCCCTGCCACCTGAAGTCCCTTCCCACCTCAGCTGGTGTCTGGTAAGACCTGGAGTAGAGCGCCAGCAATGCAGGGTAGGGCTTGTGCTGTCCTAGTTAGAGGAAGAGATGAGCAGGCACAAGGATGGAGACAGCTGTCAACACCATGTGCATCTGCACGACAGTCTTGTCACCACCCAGGCATGGCGTAAACCACAAGCGAAGAGGACATTTCATCTACGAAAAGCACTATGTCCTTCAGTTTGGGCTCTGCTCTGCTGCCAACACCACCACTGTACAGCGAATGGCAGATACTAGGCAGAGGGATGGCCATCTTCCAGGCCTGGCCAGGCCAGAGTGCGTCCCAGTGCCAAACGACAGCATGTCTGTCCAGTAGTCACAAGTTCTTCTGTGAGGGCAGACGGCGCTTGTCTTTGATGGCATTCCTCTTCCTCTTCTTGTTCAGGAAGCTCTCCAGCTTTCCACTCCTCTTCAGCTCTGCATACTTCTCAGCTAGCTCCAATTTCTGCTTCTCAGCTGTACAGGAAAGGGGAACAAGGTTTTAAACTGAAGCCCAAATCCTCTCTATAGACCAGCCCCTTCTCACCTTTCCCTCCTTGGCTCCAGGTCTGGCTTGTCCCTCGACTACCAGCGCTAGAACAATCCCTCCACACCTCTGTGGAGTATTATGGACAGCAACCTTCTAGCATTTGGAGTCCTGTCAGCAGTACTCCCTCTAGGTCTTCCTGCAGCACGTTCACACCGAGTACTTACATTTCTTTAGGAAGAAAGGTTTCTTTCCCTGCTTGGCCAATTCCCTCTGTTGTCTCTTCAAAGACAGCTCCCTCTCCCTCAATTTCTGCTGTTTTTTCTGTGCCTGCTCTTGCTGTGTCTGTACAGAAAGGATGCCCTATGTCAGCAAGTGGCTAGGCAGACCTCAGGTCACACATCCTCTCTTCTAGTGCATTGTTCTCACAGGAATGCGCTGAACTCACCATGCGGTTCAGGAGCTGCTGGAGTTTCTCCTTCTGCTCCGTGTTCCGGCATTTTTTCAGCTGCTTCTGAATCATCTGAAGAAGAGAGCAGAAAGCTGTGTGACTGCCTGCCACCTCAGCTGTGAAAGACCTTTGTAGAAGCTGCCCCCGCCCAATAAGGTTCTTCTGGCCAAGGACAGGCATGCAGCATCACCTCCTTCTCCTGCTTCTTGATGCTGTCCAGGAAGCTGTATGTCTTCATAAATATTTCAGGCTTATACTCTCCAGACAGGTCATCAAACCGAGGGTCTCTGCGGACCTGAAGGCAAGGAAGGCAAAGGTAAGAGCTGTGGCCAGGACTACCCTGTGAACAGCCTGCTTACGCTCCACCCATGGATCAGCCCTTGCCATTTTTTTACTAGCAACATCACGCACTCACCATTGAAAACATCTGCAGTTGGCAAAGACCGAGTCCAATAACCAAGGTGGCAGTCCCTCACAAAGCCATCACACCTGCACCTTGTCCACCGACTGACAGGCATTTCCACATGCAAGTCTCCCACCCAGGACCAGCCAATTCAAGGAAGAGCAGCATAAGTGCTGCTTCGCAACACCTGCAACTCCCAGACCAAGAGCTCACTGAACACGCGTTGTCAAGGTGATGGATTTGGGAACTGAAACCTATCTAGGTTTTCACAGATTACCTGGGTCAGGTCATACAAAAAGAGATCTCTAATTGTGGAAATAAAGATATTAAGATGATCGAGCAACGATAAGTCAAAGTCACATTCAGATTAGAAACTAGACGGACATTTGAACCTCCAGTGTGACTGGTACTGAACAAAGACCATAGCTTGCAGTGCGATTGTCACTGGTGGCAGCCATTACATCTTCTAGAAAAACCTGAGTCTCAAAAGTTTGAGCTACTCCTCAAGTTGTGCATGATGCAGGGCAGCAGGTTATACAGAGAGCAGCTGCTCCTGCACCCAGTCTCATTCTCTAGCACTACCTGCGCTCACCAGACAGAGGTCCAAGACCGTGTTATCCTTCAGAAACAGCCTGTGTTGTCTTCAGCAGCCCCACCACC